TGCTTCACAGATATGGTGGTTTGGTTTTGTTTTTTCCTTACAAATTGAAGTTTATGGCAACTCTGTGTTGAGCAAATCTGTTGACACCATTTTTCCAACAGCATTTGCTCACTTCATGTCCCTGGGTCACATTTTGGTAATTTTAGCAATATTTCAAACTTTTTCATTATTATCATATTTGTTATGGTGATCTGTGATCAGTGATTTTTTTTACCTTTTTTTAAAGATTTATTTATTTTAGAGAGGGCGAGAGAGAGCACAAGTGGGAAGGGCAGAGGGAGAGGGAGAGAGGGTCTCAAGCAGACTCCACACTCAGCATGGAACCCAACTCAGGGCTTGATCTCACGACCCTGAGATCATGACCTGAGCCGAAACCGAGTTGGGCACTTAACTTACTGCGCCACCCAGGCACCCCTGTGATCAGTGATCTTTGATGTTGTTATTGTAATTATTTTGGGGCACCGCAAACCACACTTATATAAGATAGTGAATTTAATCAATACACATGTGTGTTCTGACTATTCCCTTGTCCGTCTCTCTCCCTCCCCTGAGGCCTCCCTATTCATACAATATTTTGTATTCAGATAGATGCTATGTTAGTACACCATGCTTGGTACAATATATATGTTCCCCCAAATTTCTGTATTTTTTTTTGCAAGTCCAATTCTATTTGCATTGCCCCACACAATACTACTACCTAAAGGCACCCTCTAAGGCACCTCAGTAGTGCAAATATCTTGTAATCTATCCATAGTTTATCTGATTCAAATTTAAGATATTCATAATCACTTTCTGAAATGGAGCCCTTCTACATTTTGTGTGTTCGTTCTTGTTCTATTGTGCTTTAGGAATGTCTGAGCCAGGTTTTTGGTATCTGTGTCAGTGACTGGTCTTCTGGTCAAAGAAGGAATCAAAGAACCTGGAATCCTGTGGGCAGAGCCTTACTCAAACCAGTAGAGGAAATCAGCTGTGCCCGTTCTTTAGCCATGTGACTTGTATTGCTTCCTTCTTATTACCATGGCTTTAAAGTCCTGCAGACAAGCCTTCTTCTAGACACCCTTACCCTGGAGTATTACAATTTCAGAAGGTTACTCAGGGCAGGGGTGGGAGGGTGTGTGGAATCTAAAAAGGTCTCCCTAGTAGGGTAATAATGAAAAAAAAAAAAAGAAGAAGAAGTTTGCGAGATAGTGCTTTAAGAGTTCAAGGAGAAACTTAGACAACTTTTGGCTGAAGAAATCGAGGAGGTCTCGATATAGGAGGTAAATTTTGAAGAAGGACTTGACACCAAAAAGATTTTGGTTGTTGGAGATTAGGGGAGGAGGCATTCTAGGTAGAGGGAATGGGTAAATGGGATTCTGGAGGTTGGAAAGGAGCTGTCCTACAGTTAAAACAGCAAATAGTTGACTCCCAGTGGAGCAGGGGCTCAAAGCAGGGAATCCTGGAATCTTCCATGGAAAATGCAGACTATTTCATAGGCATGTAAAAATTTCTTCCTAATTAGATGGTGACCTGTTCTATGTCTTTTCCTTCTTTAATAGCTTCAACCCTTCAGTCCTACTGATAGCCAGAATGTGACCAAATTGGATAAGGAAGTTTTGTCTCTGGCCTCACCTTTTAAATCAGCTGGTGCCCCCCTCCCTCTCCCTCCTTGCTGGTGCTCACTTTCCCCCTGAGTGCTCAAGGTCTGTGAAAGAACAGCTCACAGGGATCACTATCATTTAGTTCTATAGGATGTGTATCACTGTTACGTACACATGGGACTTTTGCCAGATACACTTCTCCACAGGAAGGAGAAAAGAGAGTGCCACCTGGGAGAGGAGACTGGAGCAGGGCTGGGGCTGAGAACCTGGGCTGAGACAGGTTTGTGCACTCATTGGGATCTGGCTGATGTCAATAATCTCTGCTATGCAAATGAGCCAAAAAACCAAGTGTCTTGTCTAGACCAGAAACCAGACCTCAGTGGGAGGTCGCTAAAGGGTGTGGTGCAGCTGGAAACAGAAAAATTCGTTTCATCTGGCCTTGAACAGAACAGGATATTCATCAGACTAGCTCCGGGGAGGCAGGCAAAAACACAGAGCCCAGAGGCCTCATAGATGAGAGGCCAAAAAGTTGCTAATAAAGAGTCCAAGACCCAGTGCTGAGAGCCTCAGTTTCAGGCAAATGTGGGCTGGGAATTAGATGGCCAGCATCGTGAGAAACCTGCACTTGGCAAATCAACTTTTGGTTACGATTTCTATTTCCTTGCTTGCCCTTTGGAAATACTTGACGCCAAAGTGGGTCTCGAACGCTGCCTGGCAATCATACGGGGCTTCCCGGGTCCATTCCTGTTCCCACTCTCCTAAAAGATCATTCTACATCTTTCTCTGCAAACCTCCTCGTCCCCTGCCCCATCTTCTGCCTCACCGAGAAAACAGGACAAGCATAAGAGAAGGTCAAAGACTTGGGCTGCCATAGCCACCCAGCTACCAGCCGCGTGCCCTGCTTTCCCGCCAGTCGCCATTCTCTGTCCTGGAAAGCTGATTCTAGCTGCACTCACTGTTGTCCTGCTCCTGCAGCTGGTCTCTGGCCTCTGCGTTTCTCCCTTTCTCCAGATTACTCCTATCAGTTTACAAACACACTGTTACTTCTCCCGTTTTAAAACAGCCACAATGGGGCGCCTGGGTGGCTCAGTCGGTTAAGCGTCTGCCTTCGGCTCAGGTCATGATCCTGGAGTCCCGGGATCGAGTCCCGCATCGGGCTCCCTGCTCAGCGGGGAGCCTGCTTCTCCCTCTGACCCTCCCCCCTCTCATGTGCTCTCTCTCTCTCTCTCATTCTCTCTGTCTCAAATAAATAAATAAAATCTTTAAAAAAATAAAAATAAATAAAACAGCCACAATGACTGCAAACATCCCTTAAGGACCATCCCATTTCTTTGTCCCTCTTGACAGAAAAACTCTTCAGAGAATTACCCCCCCCACACACATTCCTAAGTCCAATGGTGGAATCTCCGTCCTCATCCTATGTGACCTGTGAGCAATACGAACCAGTCTACTGCTGCCTCCTCCTTGGCTCCCAGGACACCCTGTTCTTTGTTTTCCTCTTACCCCCTGGCTGCTTCTCCATCCCCTCAGCTGCTTCCTCTTCTCCTCCCCGCCCCTTCATGTGGGAGGGGTTGTTCGCTTTCTATTGCTGCTACAACAATTTATCACAAACATGGTGGCCTAAACAATACACATATATTATCTTCCGGTTAATAAGAGGTCAGCTGCCCAGTTCAACAGTCTTAGAGCTAAGAGGATATGTTCCAAGACCCTGATGCCTGAAACCGCAGATAGTACTGAACCCTATATATACTATGTTTTTTCCTGTACATATATACTATGAAAAAGTTTAATTTATAAATGAGGCTCAGTAAAAGATTAACCATATCTCCTTTTCACCAAACTCTTCTCTCCCTTTAAAAAGCATAGAGAATAATGTCCACCATATTCTACCAGGTAGATTTATGAAAGTCAAACACTTTGTGCTGTATTTATGTCAAATTTTCTTTAAGAAATAAAGTGTCATAAACACAATTGAACCTCTGTGTGTCCTTCTTCATTCTCATTCTCTTCTTTTCCTCTCCAGAAGCATCTGCTATCTGGATTTTTGGTGTCTATCATTCACGTATCTATTTCATAATTTTTTTTTTAAAGATTTTATTTATTTTTTATTTGAGACAGAGACAATGAGAGACAGAGAGCATGAGAGGGAGGAGGGTCAGAGGGAGAAGCAGACTCCCTGCCGAGCAGGGAGCCCGATGCGGGACTCGATCCAGGGACTCCAGGATCATGACCTGAGCCGAAGGCAGTCGCTTAACCAACTGAGCCACCCAGGCGCCCCCTATTTCATAATTTTTATTGGCATTTTAAAAGCTCCTCTTCTCCCTTGTCGTTCTAATGCTTTAATCGAGATGAAGCCTTCAAAGTCCCGAGAGGTCAAGACTTGCCCAAGGTCACACAGCAAGGTGAGGCCAAGAGAGAACAAGAGCCTAGGACTTCTGACCCTTAGTTCGGTGTCTTCCCAATGCACTATGGTGTATCTTTTCAAAATGTATATAAATGAAATTTATACCATCTACTATGTTCCCGAGACAGTACTAGACTCTTTTTTAAAATACGTTCGTTCATCTAACCTCACAGATGAGAAAACTGAGGCTCAGAGAGAAGTCACTTTTCCAATGTCACCCAGCTAGCAGGCAGCACAGGTAAAATTGGTGCCCAGGACTGCCGGACTTCGAATGCTGCCCTCTTGTGGGCAGTATGGGAAAGGCACAGGTTTTATAACCAGAAACCCCTATATTGCATTCTGGTTCCACAACTTGCTGACCAAGTGAACCTAGATAAGGTAAGTCAATTAAAACTACTATTTAGTGAACGTTTACTAAGCACCAGCAATTTCCAGTAATCATCTTATTTAAACACTCTCAGAGATAGATATTATTTAATCTTTAGAGGGAAAAACTGAGACTCCAGGAGGTCATACCACTAACAAAGAGCAGAACCAGAAGCTGAATTCAGGATTACCAGCTCCAGAGACCATGCCCTCCCCACCTTTTTTACTTTCCTCTCTTGGCTTACATGCTTTTTCAGTTTTGTTTTTTTAAATTATCACTTGGTTAGGGGCACCTGGCTGGCTCACACGGTGGAGCATGGGACTCTTGATCTCAGGGTGTGAGTTCAAGCCCTGCACTGGGTATAGAGAGTACTTAAAAATAAAATATTTAAATTATCATTTTGGGGTTGGGCCAAATGGGATATGGGATATCACATATCCGATAAAGACTTGCATACACAATATACAAAGAACCCTTAAAACTCAACAATAAAAAAAAATGAACACCCCAATTAAAAATGAGCAAGAGATCTGAAGAGACACTTCATTAAAAAAGATGTGCAGGGGCACCTGGGTGGCTCAGTTGGTTGAGCATCTGATTCTTTTTTTTTTTTTTTTTAAGATTTTATTTATTTATTTGACAGAGAGAGACATAGCGAGAGAGGGAACACAATCAGGGGGAGTGGGAGAGAGAGAAGCAGGTTTCCTGCAGAGCAGGGAGCCCAATGCGGGGCTCGATCCCAGGAGCCTGGGATCCTGACCTGAGCCGAAGGCAGACGCTTAATGACTGAGCCACCCAGGCGCCCCGAGCATCTGATTCTTGATGCTTGATTCAGCTCAGGTCTTGATCTCTGGGTCATGAGTTCAGGTCCCACATTGGGCTCCATGCTGGGTGTGGAGCCTACTTAAAAAAAAAAAAAAAGACTTGCAGATGGAAAATAAGCATAAGAAAAGATATCAACATCATTGTCATTAGGGAAATGCAAATTAAAGCAAAAAAGATGCTACTATATATCTCTTAGAGTCTCTAAAATCCATAGATCTGAAAATATAAATTTCTATCAAAGATGCAGAGAAAGAGGAACTCTCATTCCTTCCTGGTAAAATTTCAAAATGGTAGAATCACTTTGGAAAACATTTTAGCAGTTCCTAAAATGTTAAACATAGACTTACCTTATGACCAGCAATTCCACTCCTAGATAGATATCCAAGGGAAATGAAAACTATGTTCACACACAGTTTGCACACAAAATGTTCATGGTAGCATTGTTCATAACAGGCAAAAAGTGGAAGCAACCTAAATGTTCATCAACTGATGAATGGATAAACAAAATATGGTATAGCCATACAATGGAATATTATTCAGCTACAAAAAGGAATGAAGGGCTCATTCTTGCTACAACATGGGTGAACTATGGAAACATTATGCTAGGTGAAAGGAGCCATTTACTAAAGGCCACATATTGTATGATTCCATTTACATGCAAGGTCCAGAAGAGGTAAATCCATAGGGGCAGAAAACATATTAGTGGTTGTCAAGGGTTGGAGGGAAGGAAAAAGGTGAGTGACCTATTTTGGACTTCTAACTTCCAGAACTGTGAGCTAATAAATCTGTGTTGTTTAAAGGCACTAAGTTTGTGGTAATTTGTTACAGCAGCAATAGGAAACTGACACATTTGCACACTCAGACAACATTTTCCTCTTTGAACTGCAAGCTTGCGTACTGTTAGGCAATGTGTACTGTAGAAATAGTATGTTCGTGTAAGTCAATAGCCTGAAATTAAGTATTATAACTCCTAAACCACATCTTTCAATTAAAACATGGATATTGAATGCTCCCCAAATACTGATACTAATCAGCACCCTTTACTCCTACCTAGAGCTCAGGGGAGGAAGCTGGAAGGACTGAAGGATCCTGGGGATGCTGGTGTGTGGCTCCTATAAATCAGGACAGGCTGTGGTACTACCCCCAAATGTCCGACAGCAAGTTGGAAATCACAAGCTGTAGCACTTGGCCTGGATGCATTAGGCTAGCTGATTTCTGGAAGTCTCGATTCTAGCTTTTTCCTGATGCTGAGGACAAGTTCCAAAGGGGCCACAGATGTGGGCTCCAGGGAGGAGTGCAACAGCTGCCCCATATCCAGGAGGATCAGGGTCGGTGGAGACCCTGCTTCACCCTACGGGTCTGCCCCAGAATGCAGATGGTCGGCAGCATCACATAAACATCCTGCGTGGATTCTCCCTGGAGAAGAGCAAGGGAAAACTGTGTCCCTGCCACCCCACACAAATCTGCCTGATGACTGGGCCCAGTGGGGAGGGGATTTGCCCAGCAGGCTGGGTGGAAGTTACCCTGCCAGATAACCCCAGCTCCAATTAAAGCCATTAATGAGAAATGAAGCCAAGGACCGTTATCCCTTGTTAGGCCCCTTTCGCCAAAAGTCTGGGCTTTAAGACACAGTGGGTCAGCCTAGGAGCAAATACTCCACGAGGCACTTTACTTCGAATCATTCCCTAGTCAGATTCTGGTTGGCCTCTAGAGTGACCAACCATCCACGTTTGCCTGGGATCAAGGAGTTTCCCAGGACAGGAGATCACAGAACCAAGGCAAATGGCGATGAGCTGGTTACCTTCCCTTCCTACCGTGATGCTGCAGTTTTGTGGAGCCCTCCAGCCGAGAAGACAAAGCACAGATCCGCTGGACTATTTTCCTGAGCTGTTAGAACTCCTTATGAATCAGCGATTTATCCCCAATTCTCCTAGATGCAAGGCTCTTCCCCCAAATTTCCTTGTTACAACAACGGCTCCCCTTTATCGAGTGCTTACCCCAGGAAATGCGGAAAACAGTCTCCTCTACTATTTGTTAATCCTCTTCCTAATCCTGAGAGACAAGCAATTTTATTTTTATTATATAGATGATGAAACTCTGGCAATGAGAGCTTAAATAATTGCTCAAGGTCACACTGAAAGTTGGTGGCAGAGCCAGAAGAGTGTCAGGTGTCTCTGACCGCAGAACAGGCACTCGGAACCATTGAGCCGTTGGCCTTTAAAGGGACTGACCCAGCGGAGCGTCACTACCTGTCTTTAGGGGAGGGCGCTCTTGTCTTCCCGCCGACACAGTAATATGCACATAGGGCAGACGCTTTTCTAATGGCATTTGTGACCCTAGGCTGCTGCAGCTTCGCTTCCTTTTTCTGGAAGAGGGCTTTCCCCAGGAGAAAGCAAATTTTCTGAGGACTGGAAAAATGAGAGCGCGCGCACAGGGCCAAGGTAGCCCATTCCAGCCGCCGAGGGGCCTCGATGCTGTGCCGCACGGCCGTCGGGGGACCTCACCTCCGCGATCCCTCCCCGGGTGGTTTGAGGTTTGAGGCTGTCTGCGTCAGGCAAGCGCGGATTCACAGCTGCAGCCGCGCTCCTCCTCAAGATCCCCCGCCGGCAGCCCCCGTGGCAGCTCCGGGCACCTCTGCTTGCAGTAAACATGACCTTTGCCTTCTGCCACCAACATGACATTGGCATGTCGCTGCTGATCTGTAAACACAATTGTGTTTTCAGTCTTCTGACTGAATTTTGTTCCTGGGATCCTAACAGGCAGCAGGTCTCTGTTTATCTGTAAACAGCGGCCCCATTCCCCAGGCAGAGAGAGGTTAGGATGCTGTTTGTTTTTATTACTTTACAGTAAGAAGAAAAGGAGGCTTGTGACAGGCATCCACACTACCCCTCCCCTCTCCTGAGAGTCTGAGAAGATAATCTCTCTCTCCCTCCCTCCCTCTCTCTCTTTCTCTCTCCCTCCCTGAACACATAGATCCATACCCCAGACCAAGAGAAAAAGTGGAATAGGTCTTGCTCTGCCTTATAGCATCTTATGAAAGGACACCGAAGAATCTGATGGAAATAATCCAGATAATAAATGTCCTGTGTTCAGGAACTAACATGAATAGCTCCCCAGGAAACCCAGCCTTAGAGCCCACAATCACCAGGTTCTGGTTCTGAAGGTGACTCATCGTGGGCAACCCTGGGTGCCATGTGTGCCTTGAGAAACGTGTATGTTTCTACCGGTCTACACTGAAGTGTTTTCTGCAAAACTCAAGTTTTCTATTAAAACGGGTAGATTTCTTTTCCCTCAAAGTTTGTGTTCTAGCTAAAAGGATGTGATCTTTTAACAGAATGCAGACATAAGCTGGTGAATTGAAGGTTTTTTAAAAATTTATTTATTTGAAAGAGAGAGAGCACACGAGAGAGCACAAGCAGGGGGAGCAGCAGAGGGAGAGGGAGAAACAGGCTCAGTCCGAGGACCCCGGGAGCATGGCCTAAGCCAAAGGCAGACGCTTAACCCACTGAGCCACCCAGGTGCCCCGATTGAAGTTTTTATTTATTTATTTTTTAAAGATTTTATTTATTTATTTGACAGAGAGAGACACAGCGAGAGAGGGAACACAGGTAGGGGGAGTGGGAGAGGGAGAAGCAGGCTTCCCGCCGAGCAGGGAGCCCGATGTGGGGCTTGATCCCGGGACCCCGGGATCATGACCAGAGCCGAAGGCAGACACTTAATGACTGAGTCACCCAGGCACCCCCGAATTGAAGTTTTTAAGGAAAATTTCCAAAGTATTGATTAACTGATAAAATTTATAGTTATTAGATATAAATGTCAATTTTCATTAACTCTGACAATGGAATACAAAAGACAGATTGGTATCTCTTCTACAAAGCTAAGTTATCAGGGACATTGTAATTTAGGAAAATTTGTAAGGTTTCACAGGTGTCATAAGGTAGAGAAAGGGATGGAACAGGCAACTGAAGTGTTTATTCTTATTAAATGAGAAAAGAAAAAAAAGAATAGTTACAATTCATATAGTAAAATACTGGAAGATAAGGAAGGACATATGACTAATTGAATTACAACAGAATATTCAAAATCAAGTCTGTTAATAGGAATAATTATTCCAGTTAGTTAATATGGGAACCTGGATGCTTATTTTTTCTTCTGTTGTTCTAAAGGGAAGTTCTTTTTAACTAGGGTTATTAAAATAATTTGATAGGGTTATCAAAATAGTTCTTTAAATAAAGAGCTATATTTTGTTGAGGCAGAGAAATGGAATGAACAATTTCCTGTAAGAGTAAATTCAGTTGAAATCTACAAATCTAAACTTAGAAAGTAATAAAACATCTAGTTCAACATGATGGGTTAAGCATATGCATTTAAGTGAAATAATGGGTTGCATAATTTTCAAATAATAAATTTAGAACAGGTCTGGAAAGACATGGGGCCATCAATAGCACAAAAATTTTAAGAGATTGGTGGAAACTGGAAAATAGATGTGATTAGGTTTATGGAGAAAGCACATCTGAGGCAGATACAGTGAGGAATGTTCCTTTAGAAGGTCCCTAAGGAAACTCCAACTCTTCATCTCAAAGTGCAGAGACCAGGTGGGCTGTCCAGGGGTGATCACTGGGATAACGAGTTAAAGATCACCTGTGCAGCCCCTTCTTCTGCTCAGAGCAGCCAATGAGGGCATCATCCTCAGGTAAACCCCTGAGAACAGCTCTTGAATGAACTGAAGGATCTGCTGAGGGAAACTCTGGGACATGGTATTAGAGCCAGAAGAAGCAGAGCAAAGCCTAGTAACTCTGCACATCCATGATGGATGAGCAGAAGCTGAGAGATATTCAGTTCTTCCCCCCAGATGAAATACACCAAAGTGTTTCTCCTGCCAAGTAAAGCCTTCCTCTTTGACAGCTGTGAGGGCTCCGAGCTGCCTGCCAGCCTGCTGTTGCCCACGCACGTGCCCTGTAGGTGCCGTCTACTCAGCCTCCCATTCAAGGGTGAGGTCTGCTGGGGAAACAGACCTGAATAATGGCAGAGGAATTTGTCATAGCTACAGACACTTAGCAAGAGTCTTTCATTTAGAAATATGAACAGACAACCAAGGATCACCAGAGACTTGTTAGCGGCCAACAATATGAAACAGAAAGATCAAGATGAACAAACAGGATGAGCAATCTTGAGAGGAATGGATGTGGGGCGCCTCGGTGGCTCAGTTGGTTAAGCGTCATGAGTTGGTTTTGGCTCAGGTCATGATCTTAGGGTCTTGAGATCAAGCCCCACATTGAGCTCCACACTCAGCATGGAGTCTGCTTGTCCCTCTCCCTCTGCTCCTTTCCCTGCTTATGCTCTCTCTCTCAAATAATAAATAAATAAAATCTTTTTTTGTTTTTATTTTTTTATTTTTTTAAAGATTTTATTTATTTATTTGACAGAGAGAGAGACAGCAAGAGAGGGAACACAAGCAGGGGGAGTGGGAAAGAGAGAAGCAGGCTTCCTGCTGAGCAGGGAGCCTGATGCAGGGCTCAATCCCAGTACCCTGAGATCATGACCTGAGCCGAAGGCAGACGCTTAACCAACTGAGTCACCCAGGCACCCCAATAAAATCTTTTTTTAAAAGAAAAGAAACGAATGGAGCACCTGGGTGGCTCAGTTGGCTAAATGTCTGCCTTCAGCTCAGGTCATGCTCCCAGAGTCCTGGATTGAGCCCTGCAACAGGCTCCCTGCTCAGCAGAGTGTGGGCTTCTCCCTCTGCCTCTTCCCTCACTTGTGCTCGTGCCTGCTCATGCTTGCACTAGCTCGTGCTCTCTCTCCCTCTCTGAAATAAATAAATAAAATCTTAAAAAAGAAAATGTGTCATGTAGTCATGAAGCAAGACTTAGCAAATGTCAAAGAATAGGTATCATATAGACCACTGCTTTTCGAACTAATAAGTACACAAATCACCCAACAATCTTGGTGTTTTGGGTTTTTTTTTTTTAAGATTTATTTATTTATTTGTCAGAGAGAGAGAGAGAGCAAGCAGGGAGAGCAGCAGGCAGAGGGAGAAGCAGACTCCCTGCTGAGCAAGGAACCCGATACAGAACCCAATCCCAGGACCCTGGGATCATGACCTGAGCTGAAGGCAGATGCTTAACCGACTGAGCCACCCAGGCATCCCCGAAGATCTTGTTATAATGGATATTACAATTCTGGTGATGATGCCTGAGATTCTGCTTTTTTATTAAGTCCCTAAGTGATGTCTGATGCTGCTGGTCTGTAGACTGTACTTTGTGTAGCAAGAATTATAGACAATGTTCTTCGACTACAACTTCTGTCTTAGTTTGAGTTCCCCTAGATGTAGACCCCAAGATAAAGATTCAAGAGCCAATAGTTTGCTTTATTGGTGAAGGAAACACCAGTTGGGGAGTGAGGCATGAAACAGGGTCAAGAAGACAGTTTAATAAAGGGGTGTAAACCCAGGCCTTGGACCGCCAGACAGCTACTCAACTGCTTAAGCTGGCCCACAAGTACAGACCAGAGACAAAGCAGGAGAAGAAGCAGAGATTGTTGGCCCGGGCCGAGAAGAAAGCTGCGGGCAAAGGGGATGTCCCCACTAAGAGGCCACCTGTCCTTCGAGCTGGGGTTAACACTGTCACCACCTTGGTGGAAAACAAGAAGGCTCAGCTGGTAGTGATTGCACATGATGTGGATCCCACTGAGCTGGTGGTTTTCCTGCCTGCCCTGTGTCGTAAGATGGGGGTTCCCTACTGCATTATCAAGGGGAAGGCCAGGCTGGGGCGTCTGGTCCACAGGAAGACCTGCACCACTGTCGCCTTCACACAGGTCAACTCGGAAGACAAAGGAGCTCTGGCAAAGCTGGTGGAAGCCATTGGGACCAATTACAATGACAGATACGATGAGATCCGCCGCCACTGGGGAGGCAACGTCCTGGGTCTGAAGTCTGTGGCTTGCATTGCCAAGCTGGAAAAGGCAAAGGCTAAAGAACTGGCCACCAAACTGGGCTGAGTGGATGCTGTTGAATTTTCTATACATAAAAGTAATAAAACGTTGTCTTTCAAAAAAATAAAAAATAAAATAAAAATAAATAAAGGGGTGTAAAGGCTAACAACCATTGAAGGCAGCTAAAACTTAGGACCCTGTAAGAACTTTGGGAGCCAAAGTCAAACATATGCCTCACTCACACTCATGCCTTCAAGAGGCAAGGGAACTAGAGTATCATACATGACTTCCGTCATTCATTTGTTACTAGTTGTTCCCTTATAGGGACATGTTAAGAATTTTAAAGCAGCTATTATTACTATCCTTAATGAAGTAAGGCAATATAAGTTCATAGCCAGTTTTGAAAGAAGTAAAAAAAAGACAAATTATATATATAGTGGAACAATGATTAAAGATGACTCATCATCAGAAACTATGAAGACCAGAAGAGAGTGAAAAACATCTTAAAGTACTTAAAGGAAAAACCACCAAACCAGAATTTTATATCCAGCAAAAATATCCTTCAAGAATGCAGGTAAAATACAGACTTCTTCACCAGTAAACCCTCACTGCAAAAATAGTAAGGAATTTCTTTATGCTGAATGAAAATATTACCAGATATAAACAAACGAATAGAGAGCATTGGAAAAGGTACATATCTGGGTAAATTAAAAGACTGATTTTTTTTTTTGGCTTTCTCTTAATGTCTTTATACACATGACTGCCAAAAGCAAAAGTGATAACATTTTTTGTGGGATTTATAACCTGTGTTGATATAGGACATATAATAGTTATAATATAAAGGAAGGAGGTAAGAGACATATATGGTTACAAGGTTTCTATATTTTTCAGGAAGTAAAAAAAAATCAATAGCTATAAGTGGATGGTGAAAAGATAAAAATGTATATTATAATCCCAGAACAACCACTAAAAGTAGTGCAGAGAAATATAACTTAAAAAACAAGAAAAAGGGACACCTGGGCGGCTCAGTCCATTAAGCGTCTGCCTTTGGCTCAGGTCATGATCCCAGGGTCCTGGGATTAAGCCCCACACTGGGCTCCTGAGCAGGGATCCTGCTTCTCCCTCTCCCTCTGCCATTCATCCTGCTTGTGATCTCTTGCTCACTCTCTCTCTCTGTCAAATAAATAAATAAAATCTTTAAAAAAAAAGAAAAATATTAAACTGGAATTCTAAAATATATTCAAGTAATGAAAAAAAAAAAGAGGAACAAGAAAGGAGGAAAAGAAAAATAAAAAATAGAGAGACATAGAAAACAAATTATAAAATGATAAGCCCAAGCTCAAATATATCAACAATTACATTAAAAGTTAATGAACTGAAACTTCTTAAAGGGCAGAAATTATCAAAATGGATAAAAAAAGCAAGACCCAACTGCTGTGGACTAAGCTGTGTCCCCCCCAAATTCATACACTGAAACCCTAACCCCACATAGAGTGTGTGGCTATACTTGGAATAAGAAATTAATCAAGGTTAAATAAGGTCATAAGGGTGGAACCCTGATCTGAAAAGATTAGTGTTCTCATCAGAGAAGACCCAAGAATTTGCTCTCTTTCTTCTCCATCGTGTGAGAACACAGCAAGAGGGTGGCCACCTACAAGACAGGAAAAGAGTCCTCACTAGCAACTAACTGGCCAGCACCTTGATCTCAGGATCTTCGGCCTCTAGAACAATGAGAAAGTAAATGTCTGTTGTTTAAGCCATCCAGTGTATGGTGTTTGGTTATATAGACAGCCCAAGCTGACTAAGACAACAACTACATGCTTTCTTTAGAAGACACACAGAGGCTGAAAATCAATGGATGAGGAAGTTTATACCATTCAAACAGTAAGTAGAATAAAGCTGAAGTGGTTATAGTCATATCAAATAAAAGATATTTGAAGACAGAAAGTACTACAGGAGATGAGAGGAACATTTCATAATAGCAAAAAGATCAATTCATTAGGAAGACTTAATGGTCATAAATGTGTGTAGACCTAATTACAGAGCTTCAAAACACATGAAGTAAAATTTGCCAAAATTAAAGAGAGAATAATCCCATTATCATATTTAGAGGTGTTAAGACTTCTCTCTCAGCAATGAATAGATCAGATAAAATAAAATCAGCAAACACACAGACAAAATGAGCAACACTATCAACCACCTTAACCTAACTGATATCAATAAAACATTACACCCACCAAGTCAGAACATACATTCTTCTCAAGTGCATATGGTATATTCACCAGAATAGACCACACGTTGGGCCATACAACACCTCTCAACAAATTTTAAAAATTAAATCATATCAAGTACTTCCTCTGACCACAATGGAATTAACTTAGAAATCAGTAACAATCAAATAACTAGGGGAGAAAAAAAAAACCCTATTTGGGGAAATGAAACAACACACTTAAAAAAAAAAACATACTTTAACATCAGGGCTTCTCTATCTTAGGCTGGAAAATTTGTTGTGCATGGCTATTCTGTGCTTAGCAGCATCCTTGGATCTACCTACTAGATGGCAGTTGCACCCCTCTAGTTGTAACAACTAAAATGTCTCTAGACATTGCCAAATATTCCCTGGGGTGGGAATTAAACTTAAAAATAAATTAAAAATTCCTAAGGCATCTACATATAGGCTAGGAAAACTAATAACTTAGCAAGACTGTACAGTACTACATGAATATACAAAAATCCCTTGCATTTTTGTCTTGTAGCAAGGAACACTTAGAAAATGAACTTAACTCCATTAAATGACACCATCTAAATTGCAATCAAAAAAATAAAATACTCAAGAAATAAACTTAATGGCGACATGCAAGATCTGTATACTGAAGACTATAGAACCTTGCAAAAATAAATTAAAGAAGACTCAGTGGAGAGATGTATTATGTTTGTAGACTGGAAGATCAATGTTCAGACTGATGCTACCTGAGACGCAGGTTAATACACAAAGCCTCATCTTATTTTGGAGAATTTTTTTTCAAGCCCACATCTTTTCATGCATCACCTTCACCTAATCCCTTTATCCACTCACCTCCTTCCATAGATAAATATAAATATATATATACACACATACATACGAACATATGTATGTGCCTGTGAATGTGTATGTAAATATGTGTGTTATATTACATTATATATTAACAACATTTATTACCTTTAATTGCTTGGTTTGGGTAGCATTTTGCCCTTCCCCTTCACCACCACCTCACTCCTGCCTCCTGCCCTGTCCCCACACTGCTTATCTCTATGCCGAATGATTACAGTTAGTTTAATTGTGTGCACTCATGCATGGACACACACAGCATCCACTCCCTTCATAGTTTGCTTCCTGATCTGGCCTACCAATTACTGCTTAATGGTCAACATATTGATCCGTTCTATTTACTTGTTGTTTGTCTATACTTGCCCATATCAAATAACTAACAATATTATATTTTCCTTGTTTTACAGATGAGGTTCCAAGAGGCAATGGCCTTTGTCCAAATTTACCATCTGCTAGGAGGTGCCCTTCCCCAGGTTCCCATAGACTGCATTCTGGATTTTCTATTTCTTCACCTGGCCAAGGCTTGTCCTCCTCAGTTATAGTCCAAAGACTTACTTATTTTCTTCATTAAAATCTATCTTTCTGGGGCACCTGGATGGCTCAGTTGGTTAAGTGGCTGACCTCAGCTCGGATCATGATCTTGAGGTCTCTCTCTCTCTCAAATAAATAAATAAAATGTTAAAAAAATATATATCTTTCCTAGCTAATTTCAATCAAACACCTTCGTGCTAAGAAACCAAATTAAAGTTAACAGTTTAATGAGTACAATGCGTATTTCCACTTGTGGCTATAATACAAACCCCAGGAGTAAGACGGAAGACAGATTACCAGCCTCATTACAGGCTGTGGGTGTTTAGGGACTGTAGGGATGGACAGAAGAGATCCAGTCACTTGCAAATGCGCAGTCCTGCAGTATCCAAAGATCACAAGTTTAGGCCCCTGGGAGTAACTGATGTTGCAAAGTCCCAGGCACAGAAGGTTTCCCTCCTTTTCTGCTCCAGGAAGCTTGTCCCATAGCCAGACAGCTCTGTTACCCAACACCCAGCCCAGGAGCAGCCAGCCGCCCAGTTATGCTGTCGGTGATCTCATTAGAATGAGATGAGTCAACATTCACACAAAGACCTTCTGGCCTGCAATCTGAGAACAGGTTTAGGAAGAACAAAGCAAAAGGGAGAAATGTAACCAAGAACTATCTCTTTATTGCTTTTGAGTTGTTTAAGGGGGTTTTAAGGGATTAAGGCTAAAGAAATGTTGACTGTAGGGAGAGGAGCAGGATATCGGTTGAACAGAATAGAGGCCTTTGTGCTGACTAAGAGGGGATGCACATTAAAAGAAAATCTCCTCAGCCCGCCTGCTTGCAGGGGGATAGGGCTGGAAGTCAAAGGTGAATAAGAATGCCAGGTTTCTAGCCTGGGGGAGAAGTCAAGGCATAGGAGCATCTTTGGGGTCCTCGCTGATGATGAGTAGACAACCAAGGGACTGCCAGAGGTCCCCTGGCCCCACCTTTCAATCCCTAACCAAATTCTCAACCCTGGGAGAAACCTCATCATAAGTACTGGACACCAAAAAGAGCTAAGCCCCAGGAGATATGGAAGCAATGTGCGAGAGATGTGTCTAGAAAACCAGAGAGCCACAAAAAACATCAGAGAGGCATATAAATTGGACTTGGAGTATAATAGGCCCCATCCCATTCTTTTCTTCTTTTTCCTACCTCCCCCATCCCTATAGGACCTTCCTGTTTCTATCATTGTATCAGTCAGTGTCCCTCTTGTCTTTACCCTCTCCCAGTGTCTCATTCATGTCTGCTTCTCCATTATTCTGTGGAGATGTTCCTCCCCATACAGATACTATGGGTACAACGCCCATCTCCCTCAAATGGATGCCTGACCAAGAGGGGATTTCCACTGAGGAAAAATTTCCTCACCTTCTCTATCCCCACCTGCTACACACCCACAGTTAGAGGCATAAAGAACAGATAAGGGCTCTGGGCGAAGGAATGATTTATTCTCCTCTTTCAAGTGAGCAGCCTCAAAAGC